TCCTTCCTTCCTTCCTTCCTTCCTTCCTTCCGTAAAGTGCACAAGAAATGTACATGTTATAATTTTTCATTTCTGTTAAAGGAATCAGCATATAGAGGGACTTAGCTAAGGTATTTTTTAGGAAAGGAGATGCAGTAAACTGGAGGAATAGAGAAAAACTATACACTGACTTAAAGCATACTTTTAGAATAGTGCACACTATTGTAGAATATAGCTTATGAATAACACATTATTCATTTATATAAGGTCTATTCTTTATAAAAACTGCCTGGAGGCAGTATTTTAAAGTATAGCTATGAACCAAAGTGCAGCCATGTTTAACCGAAGCACGAACTCTGTTACAGACATAGCTTCTAGATGAAAAGCAGGCACTCTTAGAGATAAACAAGGGAAGACATAAATCTTTTATAATTGCAATTAACCCGTTTGGGTAGCAGTTCACCTTGTAAATAAGGCTATACCTCTAGTTAGCAGGATGTTACAAATCCTGCCACAGATAAGGAAGGGAAGATAAGACAGGAACAAAAGGGGCTTTTGATCTAATAATTGGAGGGTTTGGCAATTGTAATGGTTACTAGGAGGTCAGAAAAGCTTTTGACCAATGTAAGCCTATCAATTGGAAGGATGTGGCCTGATGCACGGGGACAGGGTATAAAAACCTATGCAGAAATTCATTCAGTGTGGCCCTTTATTTGCATATAGAAGGGTGCACCAGCTTTTGCAAAAGCTTTAATAAAACTTGTTTTGTTTTCCAACACCCTTGGAGTTGAATTTTTGTTCCTCACCCTTCCTTCCTTCCTTCCTTCCTTCCTTCCTTCCTTCCTTCCTTCCTTCTCTTGTATCCATCCCTCCCTCTGTCTCTAAGGTGCTAAGATGATCAAAGACCTGGAGATTAAAACATACGAAGAATACGGGACTTGGGTTTGGCTAGTCTAAAGAAAAGAAGAAATAGGAGAGACATGATAGCAGTCTTCCAGTATCTGAGGGGCTGCCCCAAGGAAGAGGAGGGGGTCACATTATTCTCCAAAGCACCAGAGGGAAAGACGACAAAAAACAATGGTTGGAAACTGATCAAAGAGAGAAGCAACCTGGAATTAAGGAGAAATTTCCTAAACAATGAGAATAATCAACCAGTGGAACTGCTTGCCACCAGAAATCATGGGCACTCCATCACTGGATATTTTAAAGAAGAGACTGGACATTCACCTGTCTGGGACGGCATAGGCTCTCCTGCCTGAGCAGGGGGCCGGACTAGAAGACCTTCAAGCCCCTTCCAGCTTCTATTCTATTCTATTCTATATTCCAGTATTTATTCTATTCTATTCTATTCTATTCTATTCTATTCTATTCTATTCTATTCTATATTCCAATATTTATTCTATTCTATTCTGTTCTGTTCTATTCTATATTCCAATATTTATTCTATTCTATTCTATTCTATTCTATTCTATTCTATTCTATTCTATTCTATTCTATTCTATTCTATTCTATATTCCAGTATTTATTCTATTCTGTTCTATTCTGTTCTGTTCTGTTCTGTTCTGTTCTGTTCTATATTCCAATATTTATTCTATTCTATTCTATTCTATTCTATTCTATTCTATTCTATTCTATTCTATTCTATTCTATTCTATTCTATTCTATTCTTTCTCCTGCCTTCCTGTCTTATAGAATTCTAGGGCTGGAAGGGACCTTGAAGATCTTCTAGTCCATCCCCCTGCTCAGGCAGGAAGCCCTATACCCGTTTCATACAAATGGCTTCCAGTCTCTTCTCAAAAGCCTCCAGTGTTGAAGCATCCACAATTTTTGGTGGCAAGCTGTTCCACTGATTAATTGTCCTCACTGTCAGGAAATTCCTCCTTAGTTCCAGGTTGCTTCTCTCCTTTACTAGTTTCCATCCGTTGCTTCTTGTTCTGCTCTCAGGTGCTCTGGAGAAGAGGTGGATCCCCTCACGAATGAAGGCAAACATACGTGTCCCAGGATAAATCCTAAGTCGAGGAATGCCTGCAGTCCTTCTAGTCCTTGACCTACAGCAGTTTATTTAAGTGACCGTTCAAAATTACAACAGCACTGAAAAAAAGTGACTTTGGACCGTTTTTTTCACCCTTAGGACCGTTGCAGCATCCCCTTGGTCAGGTGATTGACCTTCTGGATGCTTGACCGCCGACTCACATTTATGACGGTTGCAGAGTCCCGGGTGATCACGTGATTCCCCCTTTTGCGACTTTCTGACAAGCCAAAGTCCACGGGGGAAGCCAAATTCTCTAATTTGCCAATTTAACAACTTCAAATTGCTTATTTACATTGCTAATTTAACAACTCCGGGGATTCCGGGAACAAAGGTGGGAAGGAAAGTCGTAAAACGGGGACAAACCCACCTCAGAAGTGTCTCACTTAGCAACGGAAATGGGGGAGGGCGGGGCTCCACTGTGGTCGTAAGTCGAGGACTGCCTGGTGTTTTATGATTGATCCTGAAACGGCAGAGGTGAGAAAGGCAAGCCGCCGTGCTTCCTCTCCCCTCTAGAGGGCGGCCGCGAGCCAAGCCGGGGGGGTGTGTGTTCTGGAGCTGCCCTCGCTCAACATGGCGACGGCCGCTTCCTCCCTTCCGCTTACCTAGGCCGGGAAGTGAGGGCGGAAGTGCTCGGGAGCAGCAAGGAGAGCAGCTGAGCGCCCCAGATCCTCCAGTTCGCCCCGATGGATTGCTACACCGCCAATTGGGATCCCCTGGGGGAATCCGCCTATTATCGGTCAGTGGGCTTTCTTTTTCAGACCCCCCCCCAAGAAAAGCCCCTGGGCCCTTCTTCCTGCCATGCCACTGAGGCTTCCCCCATAACATGCACCCCCTTTTTTCCAAACACCCCCCCATATGTATGTATGTATGTATGTATGTATGCATGCATGCATGCATGTATGTATGTATGTATGTATGTATGACACCCAATCCTCTGCAAAATGATGCTTATTGGAGGGGGGGGGGGTTTGTCACAAAGATTTTAAACCCAAAACAACTCATTTGCTTTGCCCAGGGCAGTTTTTTTTTTGAACAGCTTTTCATGGCAAAGCCCATCCTCCCCAGCCAGAAGGGGAGGATGGTCAACATGGTAGTGCAACTCCTCAAGCAGGCTAGGATCCCCATGGTTAGGGGGGGTGCTAAAGTCTTTTGCAGACACACCCCCCCCAAAAAAAAGTACTTGGGGAAATTCTGCCTGCATTTTTAACAGGAACCTTTTTTGGGGGGGGGAATTATTTCCCTTTCGATTGCACAGTTGTTTTGTGGCTGGCTTAAAAGGCCGTTGCATTTTACGTGTGGTTCGTGGGGCAGGACAGATCGATGAAAGCTAAATGATGGGTGTTTTTTAAAAAAATGATATTCTTAATTTAGTTAATTTATATTGTAAGCTGCCCAAAGTTGTTGGGTATGAGATGGGAGGCAAATCAATTTGATCAATAAATAAAATAAATACTTCCTCCCCTTTCTAGGAAACTGGAACTTTACAGCATGAGCTGGAATTTGAAGGAAGACCTGCGGGACTATTTGGTGGCTGCCGCCCCGTACGGGGGTCCCATCGGTACGTGACCGTCCTTTTTGGCTAAAGCCGGCTAGGGAATTCTGGGAGTTGAAGTCCACCCCTCTACCAGTAGCTACAAGCCTGTGTTAAACTTGCCGGGTTTGGAAAAACATTGGGCTGGTCTGATTTGAGTTTTAATCTGGGGTGGGGAGGAACCCTAATCTGTTGGTTGGCCCAAAGCAAGAGAGATAAAATAGAAATAGAATAATGATAGAATTAGAATAGAATAGAATAGAATAGAATAAAACAGAACAGAACAGAATAGAATTACAGAATAGAATAGAATAGAAATACAGAATAGAATAGAAATACAGAATAGAATAGAATAAAACAGAATAGAACAGAATAGAATAGAAATACAATAGAATAGAATAAAACAGAACAGAACAGAACAGAATTACAGAATAGAATAGAATAGAAATACAGAATAGAATAGAATTACAGAATAGAATAAATAGAAATACAGAATAGAATAGAATAGAATGAAACAGAATAGAACAGAATAGAATAGAAATACAATAGAATAGAATAGAATAAAACAGAACAGAACAGAACAGAATTACAGAATAGAATAGAATAGAAATACAGAATAGAATAGAATAAAACAGAACAGAATAGAATAGAAATACAGAATAGAATAGAAATACAGAATAGAATAGAAATACAGAATAGAATAGAATAGAATAGAATAGAATAGAATAGAATAGAATAGAATAGAATAGAATAGAATAGAATAAATATTGGAATATAGAATAGAATAAAATAGAAACAGGAACAGAAATAGAATAACAGAGTTGGAAGGGATCTTAGAGGTCTTCTAGTCCAACCCTTTTTTCAGGCTGGAACCTAAAGGACTTTCCCAATTAACAGTCTCAAATTACTTATCAATTAAGGAAGCATCAGAAGCTGGCAAGCTACCTCTGAAGGTCTCAACCCACCCAACCCATGTTTAGCCCCTGGCACGTCTGACTTCCCAGGTTCTCTCAATTTGCAATCGGGGGTGTGTGTGTTTGTGTGTTCTTCCTCTTTTTTTTTTTTTAATGTTTAGCCCTGATGAAAAACAAGAGAGAGAAATCGCCCAGCTCCCGGCCTCTTCTAGAGATCTACTCTGCTTCTGGGATCCAGCTGGCCAGTGTTGTGGTGAGTAAGACCCAAGGGTCAGTTACAGGCGGTCCTCGTGTCTGAGCATGCACAGTCTTATTGCGCGAGATAAGCTAGAAGTGGTCTATAGTAAATGGTGGTTTATCTTACACTGTCTACAACAGTGGTGGCGAACCTATGGCACAGGTGCCAGAGGCGGCACTCAGAGCCCTCTCTGTGGGCACGCGTGCCGTCGCCCCAGTCCTAGGCCTTCAGCTGGGTTTTATAAAACCTTTTCGCTTTAGGCCTCTGCCGCCGTATGCAAAAAAAAAAAAAAAGGTTCAATCAATCAGTCAATTTCAACTTCTCACGGGAAAAAAAGATCTTGCAAAGTTGGAATTGATTGATTGAACTTTTTAGTCCCACCCAGTCTGCCGTTACCACTGCAGCCACGCCCACCCAATGGGCCACGCCCACCTGGCACCCAACGATGCATCAGTGGGTTTTGGGTTGCAGTTTGGACATTCGGTCTCCAAAAGGTTCGCCATCACTGGTCTACAATATCGTACACCAGGAATAATATACATGCACGTGCTAATACAGCAGGACCCAACAAACCACAGTTACAGCAGGAAACGGAAGAAGAAACACACCAGCAGAGCCTTCCCTTTATACACAGACCCTGCTGGCTCTTAAAGGGACACAGACCCTGCTGAGTCATTCCCATCCTTACATCTTACATTACATAAGCTGGTTAGCTGTTAAATCAATACCTTGACACCTCGATGTGCAACAGTTCGTTTAGTGACCGTCTGAAGTTAAAACGGCACTGAAAAAAAGGATCAATGGCCTTTTTCCACACTCTGTTGCAGCGTCCCCGTGGTCATGAGATCAAAATTCAGACACCTGGCAACTGACTCATATTTATGATGGTCGCGGTGTCCTGTGTGTGTGTGTGTGTGTGTGTATCACGGGATCCCCCTTTTGCGACCTTGCGACAAGCAAAGTCAGTGGGGGAAACCAGATAGGGACGCGACGAGGTTCGTAGGTGTGAAAAACGGTCCTAAGTCCCTTTTCTCAGGACCGCTGCAACTTCAAACAGTCACTAAACTGAACTGTCGTAAGCCGAGGACTCGCTGTCTTCCCCGAGATGGGACTTTTTCAACGCTTCGTACAAAAGGGAGTCTCAGGTTTCTAGACCTCATGGTTCAGGAGTCTGAATCTTACACAGAGGCGACCCGGGAAGCTCCGAGCTGCAAAATGCGGCTTGAAACGGAAGGAGCATTGTAACCCCTTGTACAGGTTAGTCCTGGACTTACGACTGTTCGTTTAGTGGCCGTTCAGAGTTAACAACAGCACTGAAAAAAAGTGACTTATGAACATTTTTCACGCTTAACGACCATCGCACCATCCCCGTGGTCATGGGATCAAAATTCAGACCCTTGGCAACTGACTCATATTTATGACGGTCGCAGCGTCCCCGGGATTCCCTTAACAGCCGTGTTACCAACTGCAGTAACTCACTTAACAACTGTGGCAAGAAACATCATAAAATGGGGCAACGCTCACTTTAACAAATGTTTTGCTTAGCAACAATTGTGGTCGTAAGCCGAGGACTTCCTGTCACGCTGCACCAGTGTTTTTCCAAGCTTGGCACCTTTTAAGACCTGCGGACTTCAACTCCCAGAATTCCACAGCCAACCAGCCAGCCAGGCTGGCTGTGGAATTCTGGGAGTTGAAGTCTGCAGGTCTTACAAGTTGCCAAGCTTGGAAAAACACAGTTCTAAACTAGGGGTAGGCCACCTCGGCTCTTTTATGACTGGTGGACTTCAACTCCCAGAATTCCTGAGCCGGCCATGCTGAGGGGACAGGGAGAGGTTTCCAAGCTGAGCCATGCTGGCTCAGGAATTCTGGGAGTTGAAGTCCACCAGTCATAAAAGAGCCCAGGTTGCCTACCTCTGGCCTAGGCCTAGGCCGCTTTATGACTCGTGGACTTCAACTCCCAGAATTCCTGAGCCAGCATGGCTCAGCTTGGAAACCTCTCCCTGTCCCCTCAGTGTGGCTGGCTCAGGAATTCTGGGAGTTGAAGTCCACGAGTCATAAAAGAGCCAAGGTTGCCTACCCCTGTTCTAAACCAACTCAGGCCATTGTTAGGAAGGATGGGAGATGTAGTCCGTCAACAACAAAAGGGTGAGGCTTGTGGCTGGGGATCCTGGGAGTTGTAGTTGCATCCGCGGGACACGCTTCTGTGGATGAAGGGAGGGGGATATACGAACCAAAGCTAACCAAGAGACAGAGAGCAGAGTCCTGGAACCTGCTGGGGCTGATGGGAGTTGTGGTCGAGCTGTCTTCAAGGGTCTCCATCTCTTTGCCGACAGTGGAAGGATTCTCCAGCCATGTTCCTGGGCTGGACCACCAACGAGGACCTGCTCAGCCTCCAGGAGAACGGCATCGTCCTTCTCCACAGCCTGTTTGGCGAATTCAAGAAAAAAGTCACCATGAACAACGTAAGTGACCCCCAAAACGGAGGGGGGTGGCTGAGCTGGGTTCGAGTCGCGCTCGTCTGGCCTCTGAGCACATGCGAAGCCTCCAAGAACGTGAGGGCTTTGCATGGCGTGTGAACTCAGATTGCGCCCTTTGGACTTTTGTTACAAACCAGGGTTAACTCTAGGGAGAATTGGAGTCCGCGGTAGAATGGGAATTTTGGGCTCGGTCGTAAGTCGAGGATCAGCTGTCATGCAGATCCAGCTAGAGAATTCTGGGAGTTGGAGTCCACCCCTCTAAAAGTTGCTAGGATGTTTTTTTAAAAAAAAAATACTCTGTGAAGAACAGAAGAGAAGAGCATCAAAGATGATCAGGGGACTGGAGGATAAATCATAGGAAGGACGGTTGCTGGAATTGGGGATGTGCAGTTTAATGAAGAGAAGGACGAGGGGGGACAGGATAGCAGCCTTCCAGTAGTTGAGGGGCTGCCCCAAAGAAAAGGGGGGGGGTCCACCTATTCTTCAAAGCACCCAAAGGCAGAACAAGAAGCAACAGATGGAAATTAATCAAGGAGAGAAGCAACCTGGAACTATAAATACGTGGAACAACCTGCCTCCAGAAGCGGTGAATGCTCCAACACTGGAAGTTTTTAAGGAGAGACTGGACAGCCATTTGTCTGAAATGGTATAGGGTTTCCTGCCTGAGCAGGGGGTTGGACTAGAAGACCTCCAAGGTCCCTTCCAACTTTGTTGTTGTTGTTGTTACTATTATTATTATTATTATTATTATTATTATTATTATTATTATTATTATTATTATTATTATTATTATTATTATTATTATTATTAAGTTATGGGCAGAAGTGAGAAATGATGATGATGATGATGATAATAATAATAATAATAACAACAACAACAACAACAACAATAATAATAATAATAATAATAATAATAAAGTTGGAAGGGACCTTGGAGGTCATCTATTCCAACCCGCTGCTCAGGCAGGAAATCCTAAACCATTTCCATCAAATGGCTGTCCAGATTGTGACTTTATCGCCTCTGGAAAAATACAAGCAGTCCTCGACTTACAACAGTTCATTTAGTGACTGGACAGCCATTTGTCTGAAATGGTATAGGGTTTCCTGCCTGAGCAGGGGGTTGGACTAGATGACCTCCAAGGTCCCTTCCAACAACAACAACATCATCATCATCATCATTATTATTATTATGACAGCAAAGTCCACATTTTGGAGCGAGAGGACCACTGGTTTGAAAGTGGGGTCAAAGAGGCCATCTATGTTAAAATTTGAGCAGCCCGCGCTCAACAGGGGGGGGGACACGACACCACCCATCACCAGTCTACAACACAGCCCTTTCAGCAGTTCCAAGAAGGTCCCACACCCATTGGCACCACTCAGCTGACCCCGAGGACACAGATAAACCTCCAGGTGGCCTCAACGGCTCTCAGAGCGAGTACTAATAACCAGATGACTGCAAGAAATGTAAATCCCTCCATCCTCCACCATTCAGTCAGAACTGAAGAAGCTTCTTGGATGAGGAGCGAAACGTCTTCAAGGCTGCCTTTTGGAAAAGCACCTTTGGGACAGTTCCTGACCTGGAGGACGAAGAATCTTCCCCAGACGTTGCGTGAAGGTCACGCTTTCTCTCTTCTCCCTCAGGACGTGATGCAGGAGCGCGTGCTGGAGGCCAGGGTGTTCTACACAACGTACGGCACCGGTTTGGCCCTCCTGTCCGCCCTCCAACACAGGTTCAGCCTGGCCAACAATATCTACAACATGAAGCTACGCAAACTTCCCGTAGTGCCAGGTAGGGCTCCGTCGTCCTAACTCACCTCCTCAGAGCTTCCCGGTTCGTTTCTAATCGGATTCAGACTCTTGAACCATGAGGTCTAGAAACCTGAGGCTTCCTTTTGTACGAAACACCGTCCCAGGGAGAGAAACTGACTTGGGTTCCCTGTACAGGTAGTCCTTGAGTAGCGGCCGCAGTGGAGCCCAACATTCCTGTCGCTAAGGGAAATGTTTGTTAAGCAGGCTTTGCCCCAATTTACGACCTCTCTTAGCTCCGTTGTTAAGTGAATCCCCTGCAGCTGTTAAGTAAGTATCACAGCTTCCATCTTGACTTTGCTCATCAGAAGGTCGCAAAAGGGGGGGTCGCGTGACCCCGGGACGCTGCAGCCGTCATAAATGCGAGTCAGTTTGCCAAGCGTCCGAATTTTGATCACGTGACCTGGGGGGATGCTGCGACGGTCGTAAGTGTGAATAACGGTCATAGGTCCCTTTTTTCAGTGCCGTTGTAACTTTGAACGGTCACTAAATGAACTTTTGTAGGTCGAGGACTTGCTGTATTTTCCTGAGACGGGACTTTTTCAACGCTCCGTACAAAAGGACGTCTCAGGTTTCTAGACCTCATGGTTCAAGAGTCTGAGTCTAGTCCGAAGCGACCTTTGGAGGTCGGAGTTGCAAAATGTGATTTGCAAGGGAGGGTGCATTGTAACCCCGTACAGGCAGTCCTCGACTTACGACAGTTCATTTAGTGACCGTTCCAAGTTACAACGGCACCGAAAAAAAGGGACTTGGGACTTTTTCCCCCATTTAACGACCATTGCAGCCTGCCCCACGGTCACGTGATCCAAATTCGGATGCTTGGCAACTGACTCGCATTTATGACGGTCGCAGAGTCTCCCCTTTTGCGACCTTCTGACCAGCGAAGTCAATGGGGAGGGGGCGGGAGAGAGAGCCAGATTCACTTAACAACCCTGGTCGCAAAATGAGGCAAAACCCCGCTTAACAACGATCTCTCTTAGCAATGAAAATTTTGGGTTCCAAACTGTGGCCGTCAGCCGAGGACTGCCCTCACTCCTGACTCCCTTGTGAGATGTTTTAAACACACACACACACACACACACACCGGTCGGTATCCAGGTTAGAGTTCAACATTTTTTCTTCCCCCAAAGTTCAGATGGATGACCTCTTTTTCCCCCCTCTCCGGCCAGGTCTTCAAGGCCCCCCCTCCTGCTGGACGGTCTTGTGCCAAAACAGGGTCACCAACGTTCTGCTGGCTGTCGGTCAAGAGTTGTATCTTCTGGACGACGCCTCCTGCACTCCGGTGGTGCGTGGGACAAATTCAGTGTGAAATTGTTGGTTTTTCTGCAGGTTGTCTTGACTGGCTAAGCCATGGTTTGTAGCTCCTTCAACCCGTAGCCACAAAAACGAGCACGTTGCACATAAACTCCCCGACGGTCTTTCTTCTCCCCCCAGTTGGATAAGAGTTTTCGTGGACTTCTGTCAGTGAACAGACTCTACCATATATCCAAGAGGACGAACTCGTCCCCCGATCTGATCTTCTGGAGGTTCCAGGGAAGGTCGAGATAAGATAAGATAAGATAATTCTATATTCTATATTCTATATTCTATATTCTATTCTATATTCTATTCTATTCTATTCTATTCTATATTCTATTCTATATTCTATTCTATTCTATTCTATTCTGTATTCTATTCTTTTCTATATTCCAATATTTATTCTATTGTATTCTATATTCCAATATTTATTCTATTCTATTCTATTCTATTCTATTCTATTCTATTCTATTCTATTCTATTCTATTATCATTATTCTATTCTATTCTTCATTCTGTTCTATCATTATTCTATTCTATTCTTATCATTCTATTCTATTCTATTCTATTCTATTCTATATTCCAATATTTATTCTATTCTATTCTTATTATTCTATTCTATTCTATTCTATTCTATTCTATTCTATCCTATTCTATTCTATTCTTATTATTCTATTCTATTCTATTCTATTCTATTCTATTCTATATTCCAATATTTATTCTATTCTATTCTTATTATTCTATTCTATTCTATTCTATTCTATTCTATTCTATTCTATTCTATTCTATTCTTATTATTCTATTCTATTCTATATTCCAATATTTATTCTATTCTATTCTTATTATTCTATTCTATTCTTATTATTCTATTCTATTCTATTCTATTCTATTCTATTCTATTCTATTCTATTCTATATTCCAATATTTATTCTATTCTATTCTTATTATTCTATTCTATTCTATTCTATTCTTATTATTCTATTCTATTCTATTCTATTCTATTCCTCTTTTAAAAATGGACAATTAATGAGACAATTAATGGAAACTAATCAAGGGGAGAAACAATCTGGGATTAAGGAGAAATTTCGTACAGTGAGAACAATTAACCAGTGGAACAGCTTGCCACTCGAAGTCATGAGTGCTCCATCACTGGAGGCTTTTAAGAAGAGACTGGGAAACCATTTGTCTGAAATGATCTTCTAGGGTCTTTACCCCTGGTCCTCACACTTCACAACCGTCACAACAACATCTCGATGGTCACGTGAGTGCTTGGCAACCAACCTGTATACGTGGCAGTTGCAGCCTCCCGGGGTCTCGTGATCCCCCTCCGTGACCTTCCCAGAGGGCTCCCAAGAAGCCACGTCAAAGGGGAAAGCGGGATTCACTTAATGTCCACCACAGAAAGGTCATCAGTTTGGGCGTGACCCGCTTAACGACCACATTGTGGGCCCAACTGTGGTCGTAAGTCAACTCCCTGCACTGTGAGAGGATCGGTCAATCTGTGGAAGGGCAGCATGGACTTGACTTTAACTGGTGGTCTCCTTTCCTTTCCGTAGACCCTGCCTTGGCTCAGCCCGCACGCCGGCTCCTTCCTCAGGATGGCCGTGTCGTTCAACCACCGGTTCTTGGCCCTCTTCACCGACACCGGCTACGTCTGGATGGGGCGGTCCAACTTAAAGGTGAGATTTTTAGCTCCCAGAATTCCCCTGCCACTATGGATGAATCTTAGTTTCCAGAATTCCCCCGCCAGCATGGGTGGATTTAAATGCCCAGAATTCCCTGCCAGTATGTCTGAATTTTAGCTCCCAGAATTCCCCTGCCACTATGTATGGATCTTAGTTCCCAGAATTCCCAGCATGGCTGGATTTAAACTCCCAGAATTCCCTGCCAGCATGGGTGGAATTAAACTCGACAGAATTCCCCTGCCAGCATGGGTGGAATTAAACTCCCAGAATTCCCTGCCAGCATGGGTGGATTTATTGAGGGTCTTAAGGGGACGGTCGCACCCACCTTAATTTGAGGGTCTTAAGGGGACGGTCGTACCCACCTTAATTTGAGGGTCTTAAGGGACGGTCGTACCCACCTAAATTTGAGGGTCTTAAGGGGACGGTCGCACCCACCTTAATTTGAGGGTCTTAAGGGTGCCAGCATGGGTGGATTTAAACTCCCAGAATTCCCCCGCCAGCGTGGGTGGAATTAAACTCCCAGAATTCCTCTGACAGCATGGCTGTATTTAAACTCCCAGAATTCCCTGCCAGCATAGGAGGACTTCAATTCCCAGAAGTCCCCAGTTAGCCAGCTTTAGACACCCCAAGTGGGGTGAAAAGTCGGCCATTTTGTTCGATTAGCTGGCCGGGTGGCCTCCATTCCCTGCTCTCTTCTTCTTCTGCTTCCTGCCAGGAAAAATTGGCTGAGTTCACTTGCGACTACCGATCCTGCCCCAAGCAGATGGCCTGGTAAGCACCCCCAAACCACGGACCCCTTCTTCCGCCTTCCCCTAAACCCAACCTATTCTCCAGAGCCCCTGAAGGCAGGACAGGAAGCAACGGATGGAAACGAATCAAGGAGAGAAGCAACCTGGAACTAAGGAGGAATTTCCTGACAGTGAGAACAATTAACCAGTGGAACAGCTTGCCACCAGAAGTTGTGGGTGCTCCAACCCTTTTAAGAAGAGACTGGACAGCCACTTGTCTGGAATGGTAGAGGGTCTCCTGCTCGGGCTTGGGGGTTGGACTAGAAGACCTCCAAGGTCCCTTCCCACTCTGTTATTCTGCTATTCTGTCTTCTTTACGTGGCAGGTGTACGCGACAGCACAGCCGCCAGCGTGCCGTTGTGATGGCCTGGGACCGGTGCCTTGTGGTAGCTGGAAGCGACCAGCAAAGCATTCAGTATCCTTATTCATTTTTTATTTGGTGGGGGTGGGGGGGCGGGGGAGTGTTAGAAAAGTTTACAGGTAGTCCTCAACTTACACCCTTTCATTTAGTGACCACTCAAATTGGCCCTGAAAAACATGACTTGCAACCAGAGAGAACGCTGAGCCTCCATAATTTGAACCAGTCTACCTTTGGATGTGGCTGGTGTTCTCCAACCTAGAGGGTCTCCTGAGGTGGGGGCAAATCGCTGTGATCGGCAGAGATTATATTTATTGGTTTCCAAAGACCAGCTCTCCATTTCCTTAACACCAACCCACAGATATCCTCTGAACGAGGATTCGCATCTGGTCCCAGAGCTGGATGGGGTGCGCATTTTTTCTCGCTCCACCCATGAATTTCTCCATGAGATCCCAGGTGGGTTTTTCCAGCCTGACCGTGAACAAAGAGGACTAGAAACTTTCCCTGATTTTTAAATAGTCCGACCGTAAACAAAGAGGACTAGAAACTTTCCCTGATTTTTAAATGGCCTGACTGTGAGTTAAGAGAACTAGAAACTTTCCCTGTCTTTTAAATAGTCCGACCGTAAACAAAGAAGACTAGAAACTTTCCTCGATTTTCAAATAGTCCGACCGTAAACAAAGAGGGCTAGAAACTTTCCCCGACTTTTAAATAGCCCGACCATAAACAAAGAGGACTAGAAACTTTCCCCAACTTTTAAATAGTCCGACCGTGAACAAAGAGGACTAGAAACTTTCCTCGACTTTTAAATAGCCCGACTGTGAACAAAGAGGACTAGAAACTTTCCTTGACTTTCAAATAGTCTGACCGTAAACAAAGAGGGCTAGAAATTTTCCTCGACTTTTAAATAGCCTGACCATGAACAAAGAGGACTAGAAACTTTCCCCAACTTTTAAATAGTCCAACCGTGAACAAAGAGGACTAGAAACTTTCCTCGACTTTCAAATAGCCCGACCATAAACAAAGAGGGCTAGAAATTTTCCTCGACTTTTAAATAGCCCGACCATAAAGAGGACTAGAAACTTTCCTCGACTTTTAAATAGTCCGACCGTGAACAAAGAGGACTAAAGACTCTCCCCGACTTTTAAATAGCCTGACCATGAACAAAGAGGACTAGAAACTTTCCCCAACTTTTCAGTAGAGCCGAGACTTGGATGGACCCAGATGGCCTTCCCATCCCTGTTTTTCTCTTTCAGAGGCCAGTGAGGAGATCTTCCGGATCGCCTCCATGTCGCCCGGAGCTTTGCTGCTTGAAGCGCAGAAGGAATACGAGGTAATCTCAGTCTGAAAGACTAAAAACAATGTAGATAATATAAATGAGCGAATCTCCAAGTTAAATCTGCAACTAGACAGTTCCCAGACAATGACTACAAAGTAGGAACGAACAAACCAGAGATAGGAAGACGAAGCAGAGGAAATGGACCGAGAGACGGAAGAGTTGAAAGAAGGGAAATATAAACTACCGTACACAAATAAAATACTGCAAGACTTACCCGTAACAATGACAACGCAAAAGACTCGTTTACCCTTTAAGTCTGCGAGATGCACCTGATGAGAAGGAAGAAGATTTTGGGGAATGGAACATAGTGCTGTCAGAGGAAAAATTACAATTTGGGAGACAAAAAAACGGAAAAATTGAGGGAGAAGGAAGGTGGGAGTTGCTTAAGGAACACAGAAGGGTGGAATTCTCCCTCCCCCCCAAAAAATACCCTACCTCAATTGTCTTCCTCATGCCAAGCAACTTGCATAAAAATAGAAACAAAATTCCTGGGCGATTTAATTGGCTTGGCTTGGAAAACGACTTGGCCAAGAAAGAAAGCGAGAGTTAGATTTAAAAAAAATAGAAGATTTAACCTATTAGAGGGGGCATCGTATGTTTAAATACTTGTTTGAACATGATTAAAAGAACGGATGATATAATTAGACTTTTATAATGAAAGATATGATTTAGAATTAAAATAGCATTTTCTTCTTCTTTTGATATGGGAAATATGAAAATAAGAGGCGGATTGGTATGAATAAATTTTTTTAGCTAGACAAACGTCAATAATATTGAGGAAATCATAAAGGATACTTTAAATAGTGATGGAAAATCAAACTTTAACAAGAGCACGAAAAACAGGATATTGACTTACTGTATGTCTTACGAATGCTCCAACACTGGACAGAAATGTTGGACTCCATTGTGCTCAATTCTGTCTAGGAGGTAATCCTGGACTTCTGACTGCAGTTGAGTCCCAAATTTAAACTTAAAATTCAAATTTAAACTCTCTCCTGTCAGAAGGAAAGCCAGAAGGCGGATGAATACCTGCGTGAAATTAAGGAGCAGAAGTTGCTTCCCGAGGCGGTCGAGCAGTGCATTAAAGCAGCCAGCTACGAACACTCCCCACCTATCCAGAAGGCTCTGCTCCAGGTAAGGGGGACAGGTAGATCGCTGCCGGGGGGGGGGCTTGGCCCAGCCTCTGCTCAGATGGGAAAACAGAGGGGTGAGGGGGGTTGGGAGAGACCAGTGGTTAGCAAACTTGAGAAGTTGAAGATGGGTGGACTTCAGCTCCCAGAATTCCCCAGCCTGCATGCTTTAAGATGGGTGGACTTCAATTCCCAGAATTCCCCAGCCTGCATGCTTTAAGAGGGGTGGACTTCAACTCCCAGAATTCCCCAGCCAGCAAGCTTTAAGAGGGGTGGACTTCAACTCCCAGAATCCCCTAGCCTGCATGCTTTAAAACACGTGGACTTCACCTCCCAGAATTCCCTTTGCAAGCTTTCTAACTTCACTTGCCACTGTAAGGACTAGAAACTTGCGCTTTAAGAGGAAAATAATGCCTTCCTTCCCTCTTCCTTTCTCTACCTGTAGGCAGCCTCTTTTGGGAAATGCTTCATCGACAAATTTGCTCCGGAAAACTTTGTCGAAACCTGCCGAGATCTGCGGGTGCTTAACGCTGTCCGAGATTACCAGATTGGGATCCCCCTCAGCTTCGATCAGTATCCTTTCCTGATGGTGGAACCAAAATGGGTCACGGGAAACCGGAGTTTGGCTTTTTCGGCCTTCAGTTTCAGCAGGCAAAGATTCGCTTTCTTATCAGTTCTGCTCAGCTCCTAACTCAGGGATCTTCAAACCTGGCCCTTTTAGGACTTATGGACTTCAACTCCCAGAATTCCTCAGCCAGCCTCCATTTTGTTTGTTAGATTTAAGACACGAGTCTTCAAACCTGGCCCTTTGATGACTTGTGGACTTCAACTCCCAGAATTCCTCAGCTAGGCACGCTGCCTGAGGAATTCTGGGAGTCGAAATCCACTCCTCTTAAAGTCTATATCGGGGGTCTTCAAACTCGGCCCTTTGATGACTTGTGGACTTCAACTCCCAGAATTCCTCAGCTAGGCACGCTGCCTGAGGAATTCTGGGAGTCGAAGTCCACTCCTCTTAAAGTCTATATCAGGGGTCTTCAAACTTGGCCCTTTGATGACTTGTGGACTTCAACTCCCAGAATTCCTCAGCCAAGCATGTGTGCCTGGCTGAGGAATTCTGGGAGTCGAAGTCCACTCCTCTTAAAGTCTATATTGGGGGTCTTCAAACTTGGCCCTTTGATGACTTGTGGACTTCAGCTCCCAGAATTCCTCAGCTAGGCACGCCGGCTGAGGAATTCTGGGAGTCGAAGTCCACTCCTCTTAAAGTCTACATCAGGGGTCTTCAAACTCGGCCCTTTGATGACTTGTGGACTTCAACTCCCAGAATTCCTCAGCCAGTGCTTCCAATCTCCCCTCCTTCAAGATAGGGGAACCAACCAGTCCTACAAAATTCTTCCTCCTTAACAGATGTTTTACAGATACAAGCAGCTGACCAAGGAGGTTTTGCTGGATCGGTAATGTATCTCTCCTGTAAATGTTTTGAACATCTGGGACAGTTTTTTGTCCCCATTTCCATCTAAAAACTGGCAAATCTCGATCCATCTCAATTTGGGGGCTGCTCCCCCTCACTGGAGGCTGAGCATCGGGAGTAGCCAAAATTGCTTTTATTATTATTATTATTGTTGTTGTTGTTGTTGTTGTTGTTGTTGTTGCGTTCAATCTGGTTGATTCTTCGAGGCATCCTGGATAATTTCCTTGGCAAGGTTTTTTTTAGAACTGTTTGACCATTGCCTCCTTCCTAGGGCTGAGATAGAGTGACTGGCCCAAAGTCACCCAGCTGGCTTTCATGCCTAAGGTGGGACTAGAACTCACCGTCTCCTGGTGATTGGCCCAAAGTCACCCAGTTGGCTTTCCTGCATAAGGTGGGACTAGAACTCACCGTCTCCTGGTGATTGGCCCAAAGCTACCCAATTGGCTTTCATGTCTAAGACCGGACTAGAACTCACCGTGTCCTGGTGATTGGCCGAAAGTCACCCAGTTGGCTTTCATGACTAAGGCGGGACTAGAACTCACCATCTCCTGGTGATTGGGCCAAAGTCACCCAGCTGGCTTTCCTGCATAAGGTGGGACTAGAACTCACCGTCTCCTGGTGATTGGCCCAAAGCCACCCAATTGGCTTTCATGGCTAAGACCGGACTAGAACTCACCGTCTCCTGGTGATTGGCCAAACGTCACTCAGCCAGCTTTTATGCCTAAGGTGGGACTAGAACTCACCGTCTCCTGGTGATTGGCCCAGAGTTACCCAGTGCTTTCCTGCCTAAGGCGGGACTAGAACTCACCGTCTCCTGGTGATTGGCCCAAAGTCACCCAGCCGCCTTTCATGCCTAAAGTGGGACTTGAATGCAGAGTCTCCCGCTTCCTAGCCTGGTGCTTCAATCCCTACACCAAACCGGCTCTCTGTAGCCAAAGATAGACTGTCCCTAAAGCTGGAGGCTTTCCTTCAACCCTTTTGCCTGCTCCTTGAGAATTTGGGCTAGATCCCATGGCTGACCTCTTCCTTCGGCCCTCGTCTCTTAGGGTGGTTTTAAGAAGACTTTATCCGGTGGCCATCAAGATTTGCGAGTATCTCCGTCTTTCCGAATTCCAAGGAATAAGCCGGATTTTGGCCCACTGGGCCTGCTACAAGGTACGACCCGGAAACTCGCCATTCGGTGTTGAACCAAGCCTGCCTAGCGCCCAGGGTCGCAAATCACGTGATCCCCGGGCACCGCGGCGGCTGTTAACTTTGGGGGCGCCGTTCGTAAGTCCTTTCGTTCAGCAGCATCGTAATTGCGAACTTTCGCTAAGAGAACGGTCGTAAAGCGAGGACGGTCTGAAATTGCCTCTTGACGCTCCCCCCCCCTTTGCTCCGTGCCCTTTCTCAGGTTCAGCAGAGAGACAAGTCGGATGAAGAACTGGCCCAAGTCATCAACCAGAAACTGGGGGATGCGGTGGGCATTTCGTACTCCGACATCGCTACACAGGCGTACGAGAGCAACCGGACCGAGCTGGCTATTAAGGTGTGAGGGAAATGGGTCCGGATCCATCCGGGGGTTGGGTGGGGGGTCTGGCAGGGAAGGAGGGTCCAAGAGGCAGGAGGGCTAAAACATACAAGGAAGGGTTGCTGGAATTGGGGATGTCCAGTTTAACGAAGAGAAGGACGAGGGGGAACATGATAGCCGTGTTCCAATATCTCAGGGGCTGCCCCAAAGAAGAGGGAGTCAAGCTATTCTCCAAAGCGCCTGAAGGCAGGACAAGGAGCAACGGATGGAAATTAATCAAGGAGAGAAGCAACCTAGAACTAAGGAGAAACTTCCTGACAGTGAGAACAATTAACCAGTGGAACCACCTGCCTCCAGAAGCGGTGAATGCTCCAACACTGGAAGTTTTTAAGAAGAGACTGGACAGCCATCTGTCCGAAATGGTACAGGGTTTCCTGCCTGAGCAGGGGGTTGGACTAGATATTTATTGGAAACGGGGCAGGTCAGAGGAGTGGGTTCTATCCTGCCTTTTCCCTGACATGTTAGCTTTCTAGATTAGAATTAGATTTAGAATTAGAATTATTAGAATTAATTAGTTCAAATTATTAGAATTAGAATTAATTAGAAGAATTAATTAGTTCAAATTATTAGAATTAGAATTAATTAGAATTAGAGTTAATTAGAATTAGAGTTAATTAGAATTAGAATTGATCTGGAAGGGATCTTTGAGGTCATCTAGTCCAGCCCCCTGCTTAGGCAGGAGTCCGTATACCATTTCAGACAAATGGTTGTCCAATCTCTTCTTCAAAACCCTCCAGTGATAGAGCACCCACAACATCTGATGGCAAGCTGTTCCACTGGTTAATTGTTCTCACTTTCAGGGAAGTTTCTCCTTAATTCCAGGTTGCTTCTCTCCTTGATCAGTTTCCATCCGTTGTTTCTTGTCCTGCCTTCAGGCGCTTTGAAGAATAGCTTGACTCCCTCTCTTGTTTATGATGCAAGGGACTCTTATCTCCCTCCCTGGAAAATTACGAAATGGCTTCAGCATTTGTGGACGTGCTGCAGACTGATTGGGCCAGCCACACACAACAAGGACAAAATCATTAGTTGTTATGCTAGATCAGCGTTTTCCAACCTTGGCAACCTGAAGACATGTGAACTTCCAACTCCCAGAATTCCCTCATGGAAACCTTGTGGGTTTTTTTATAGCTGCTGGAATACGAACCCCGGCCGGGCAAGCAGGTCCCTCTTTTACTGACTATGAAAAGGAGCCAGCTGGCGTTGAGCAGAGCCATTGAGAGTGGGGACAGCGACCTGGGTAAATAGAGGCAGGGGGGGGGGTGTCCATTACTTTTCATGTCCTCCAGCAGAGCTGGGAGGTTTACAGGGCGGGAGGTGCAGGGGGGGACACTGCAGCCTCGTTCAGGACTCTCCACTCTTTTTCTTCTTTGTAAAAAGTTAACCTAGCATTGTCCTGATATTTGTGTGTTCCAAACTTGGCAACTTTAAGATGGGTGGACTTCAACTCCCAGAGTTCCCCAGTCAGCATGCTTTAAAAGGGATGGACTTCAATTCCCAGAATTCCCCAGCCTGCATGCTTTAAGATGGGAGAGGGAGAGAGAGAGAATGGATGGTGATAGATATTGAGATAGATATTAAGATAGAAAGAGATCAGATAGATTAGATAGATAGACAGACAGACAGACAGACAGACAGACAGACAGATAGATAGATAGATAGATAGATAGATAGATAGATAGATAGATAGATGTAGAGATAATAATAATAATAATAATAATGATAAAGTTGGAAGGGACCTTGGAGAGATGTACAGATAGATGATAGATAGATGATAGATAGATAGATATAGATGATAGATGATACATAGATGATAGATATAGATAGATAGATAGATAGATAGATAGATAGATAGATAGATAGATAGATAGATAGATAGATAGATAGATATAGAAGATAGATAGATAGATAGATAGATAGATATACAGATAGATGATAGATAGATGATAGATAGATAAATAGATAGATATAGATAGATGATAGATAGATAGATAGATAGATAGATAGATAGATAGATAGATATACAGATAGATGATAGATAGATAGAGATAGATAGATAGATGCACAGATAGATGATAGATATATAGATGATAGATAGATAGATGATAGATAGATGATAGATAAAGATAGATAGATAGATAGATAGATAGATAGATAGATAGATAGATAGATAGATAGATAGATAGATAGAAAATCACAATAAAATGTCCAGCCATTTTAGCAATCTTTCTCTCTGAAGCCATGGCAGATTATGCTGATATACTAAGGCAAGTCCAGGAAGAAAAAAAAGGGGGGGATTTTTTTCTCCCTAGCCTCCCCTAGAACAATGTATCTTGCCAGGAGAAGGCAAGAGCAAATTAATCCCCTGTCTCGGCTGAGAACTGCAGCCCCCATCCTCCCCAGCCAAGAGGATGGAGCAGGCCGGCAAACGTTCTCTTCTCCGTGTTTTTCTCCCTGCTCAGTTTACACCGTTATCTCCCGCCTGAAGGACGAACTCGGCCGGGGCGACTTCTTCATGGCTTTGCAGAACCAGCCGGTCGCCTTGAGTCTCTACCGTCAGGTGAGGCTTTGGCCCACACGGTCCGCCAGCATAAGGAACTATGTTCCCTTTGTGATCTGTGGACTTCAACTCCCAGAATTCCTGAGCCAGCATAGGGAACTGTGGCCCCCTTATGACCTGTGGACTTCAACTCCCAGAATTCCTGAGCCAGCATAGGGAACTGTGGCCCC